TCTACACGTAGGAGAGGCGTGCTTACTCCCGAGATGGCCTCTGTCGTAGGAAACACGTTTTGCAGAGCGAGAGATATCGAGAGCAGATCTGCTGTTCTTGACCTAGGAGCAATAAGTACACGCGGGATCCTTTAGTCTCTCTGAACGGATTAACTATACAGAAATAAGCGTTCGGTCGTGGGCCAGGGCTCGTCAGAGAGCCTATGCGTACGATACGGAAGACAGCCTGGACAGGTTTTTCGGCGACGAGACTGTGGCAGATGTCCTTCTGGTCTGTTTTTATTTAGCACTGGGGTGTCAGGCAAACTGTGTAACCCTTCTCTGTTTGATTAGGCATCTACGTTGATCCTGGCTCAATATCAGCTGGACAAGTGCAAGTGGTCATAAAGACTTCATTGTTGCATGGAATGTGTTTTTGTTTATTTTCGCGAAACAGTTTTGTCTTCAGAAACAGGCCACACAGGGCAAACAGCCAGTTTTTGCTAATGGATGTGTTGTTGATGCTATCGCGCGGACTTAATTGCTGCCTGTCATTGAGGCCAAAATTGAATGCGTGTGGGATCGGCACTTCAACGTGATAGCTACCGTAGATCGCTTGCAGCGCAAATCACAGCACTTTGAGGGACAAACATCACGCCTGTGCGAACGGTTTCCCACGTTTCGGTTGCATGGACATGTTTATTTTATTAGATTTTTATCTTCAAGAGGTGGCGCATGTCCATTTGGAAATATTTTTCAGTTTTCGTTAACGGAATCATCTGTAACTGCCATCACGCAGTTATTTCATTTCCACATCACCTGACCCCTGTTCTTAGGTAGATTTTTCTGTTGTTCGTCAGAGTAAGTTATGAAATAGGAAACGACTCACAACATGTAGTAAATCGTTCTTTTCGAGACCAGTGAAGCCCGTAGACCTCTCGGTTCGAAGAGTCACACACACTCAGTGACTGAATTAATTACGTAATTAATAAACTTTTTTCGACTTCCACGGAAAACCAGCTATTTTATGAGTCCCTATTCTACCGGATTTGCGTTAAAAATCTGTAACCCGGTAGGTCTGTAACTGTCTCGCATTCTTTCTTACAAACTGTAGTTTTAAAACGGTCTTCTTGTCCTTGTTTGAGTAAATATTCCCCTTCCCGATAAATGCAAAGTGGGTAAAACTGTTTAAGTACCAGTGATAAAACGCTTGAAAGTGGGTTCTCACAGAGGTTCATCAAGAATCCGAGATTCGCATTATCACATATATACAGTCCGCAACCGAAATTCCGAAATGTCTTTTCGAGTAGGACGGGTTAATTAAATGAGCTTGTAACACTTACGAACGTGCAGCATATTTCAGCAAGTTACGTCTTCTAATTTTGTCCTCGAATGAAGAATATATTAGCGCTTAGTTCTATGAATTATATTTGGATTTTTTAAGTGCATCATAAATCGACGGGAAACAGTCGTACTTCACCAGTAATCATTTTCTTTCCGAAAATAAGTGCATTCAACAACCGACACTCTGGCGTGACTAAACTATTTATGCGTTATGTTCTACACTAATCAAAATTACAATTCCCCTTTTGTGATCCTTCCTAATCGAAAACGCATCTCAGAATTTGATTATCGTTTCATGAGAATGGTCGCTGACTGAATATGCAGGGTTACAATAATAATTATCATGAGGCCTAATCCTAACACATTTCACTCATTCCGAAACGCCAGCTTTTGACTGCCTACAGCAATCACGCTCGTTAAGAAGTGTCCATATAGGTAGTATGAATTTTTTTGTTTATTTCCGATGACTTTATAAATGCGAATGCATTTTATGGCAGACGGGCACAAAACAAGCTTTTTCCGTCCCATTTGGAAGTAAATCACATATTTTTTAAGTTTTTTACTTGAAAAGAGAGTAAATTTCGATTTTAAGAACGTTTGCAATTATGAGACTTTTAAGACCGCGAAATATCCATTTAAATAGGATTGTGCCTGTAATTTAATAGTTTTCCCTTATTAAGCATTCCGTATAGACCACATCCACTGCAAAAGTTGATGAGGGCTAGATAGCGCCTTTTTATACCATGAAGGAGTAGATTATTTACCTTAGAAGGAAATTATACAGCTTACGCCTGAGAAACCCTAAATTCAGGTGTGACGGCAAGTCGGTTTCAAAGTTGTTCGGAACCTTAGAAACCTTTAAAACCGAAAAAGACTCCTTTTTCAAGCACAAAATTTAAAGAAGCCCTGGTTTGTTATCTAATGAGTTCAAGAAAGGATACTGTTTGTGCATGCTTCCCATAAAATATATTTGAATCCATAAGTGCACCGGTGGGTAGAAACGCATTTTTTAACCAATATTCTGGCGTGAGACTGAAATATGCCAATTGATAGTCGGTATTACGACCCCACTTAAGCAATGCTTTCTACTGGAAAACGCATTCCAGAGCTCCGGTGAACAATTTATTAGATGTATTATTTAGGATCTGGGAACCTGGTGTGTTTGTCACACAATGACACGCCAATTTCAGCCTGGCCATCTTGACGAACGACCTACTCAGACTACAGTAGGTGGGCTAACTCATGAAATGTCAACCGAAATTCCGAAATGCGTTTTCTTTTCGAAAAGATTAATTAGGTAGGGTTGTAAAACTAGTCAGTCTGCAACATAATTCTATAATACTTCAGTTACCCCAAGACGCCGGCTTTCCAATAAACTTCCTTCCGGCTGCATGCAGAAACTACACTCTTTAAAATGGCTACTTAAGTAGCATGAATTTTTTTTAATTGATTTTCGATGCCCCTAAATGTCCAATTATATTTCGTGGAAAACATGCATAAAAATATTTATTATTTTGTTCATTCGGTGGACAAGTACGTCTTCTTCCAATCTTATACTCAAAGGAGAGGTATAATTCCGTTTTCAAAAAATTTTCCCATTCCCGAATAATGTTGAACCCGCTCTACCGTTACACTTGGATTCAGGGTTTCCAAACTACAAATCACATATTTTCCGCGTATGGAAAACCATACATTTATCTAAGATAATAAAGGGGAACCATATAGATGTCATAAAATTTAGCACTGGATTTTATCCATTTTGTTAACTTTACAAGCCACACTGGTAAATGTAGAGACATGACGATGTATGAACGGCCATTTGACGGTATTTCAAAGTCCCACGATTCGAAACTTTTTAAAAACCGAATTATCCCCTTCCTTTGAGTATAAGATCGGAATAAGAAGTAATTATCTATCGAATAAGCAAAAGAATGAATATTTTCATGCTTGTTTACCATGAAATATAATTAGACACTTAGGGGCATCGAAAATTAATGCGAAAAATTCATGCTACTGAAGTGGTCATGTTTTACAGGGTATAGTTTTCGCATGCGACCGGAAAGAAGTTCGTTTGAAAGCCGATTGCCCGAAGTAACTGAATTATTATGAAATTTTGCTGCAGGCTGATTCGTTTTACAACTCTACTTAGTTAATCTTTTTGACGCGAAGACGCATTTCAGAATTTCGGTTGGCATTTCATGAGTTAGCCCATTTCCTGTACTTACTCTGAGTCCCAGGTATAAACCCTGATAAGGGAAGGCAGTGCGCAGACACGCATCTGCTATTAAAAATTCAAACAATGTATCCCTGCCTCAAAACGCCTAAGAGTCTTACTCAGTGAAGACGCAACCCGACAGTTAACGCAACAGGTTGGAAAGTCAGCTTGAAAGAACTCCAAACACGAGGCACCAGTCTATAAATAATGACTGACAGCTATCAGGCAAGTGTAATTGGCGTCCACTTCACCCCCTGTTGAACAGGAGGTTCAACAGGAAGGCGAAAAATCTAACCACATATTTTAAACAACTAAGTAAAGTGATTCGAACACTCCTGGCTGTGGTAGAGGGACACTCACCGATCGCATTACGGAAGTCACTCATCGAGCCGCGCCCTAGGGTTCTTTCTCTCTCTCTCGACTCCCGCCAGCAGCCACACAGCGACGCGTAATACAGGCAGACTAGCCTTACCGACAAAGACAAGGGAGACTGGAATGGCCATTTCTGGCCCATTAGCCGTCTTCACCCAGCCATTACCAAAAAGTGTTTGCAGAAACTATCGGAGCCAGTTCAGGAGGTAAGTCGAGGTCTCGTGGGAGTCTCGATAGACAGCCAGATCTTTGCACCAAGCATCAGTTCAAATGCGAAACATTCGCAGTTCTATTGCCAGCAGAACTAAGGAAAGATGATCAATCCATTTCTCGGGATCCTCCGCGATGTTGAAGAAAGCCTTCCACTGGTGATATAACTCCTCCATTATGACCGCGTCTTTAGAGGCCACTGGAATCTGATGGAAAATCCGAGCCTGGTGTGCCCTAAAGAAAGCATGTCACTGAAAAAGAGCTCAGATTAAGCCCTGAAGAAGAAACATGGGTTACTGATCAGGGAGCGGCAATACTGCTCAAGACCATGTGATCCCTACAACTATACCAATTACCGTCCACGACACGGAAACAAAGTGTGTACTTGCCGCTCACACGGTCGTCAACGTCACCGCTTGCCCATGTCGCTTTCGGTCCGCCTAGCACGCCTTTCGAGCACTACGCACGAGCCAGTCTTTGCCTACTCGGTGTCGTTGCGCCGATCGATATTTCCCTTTTTACCGATTAGCCGCACCCGGACAGAACTCAGGCGCATGCAATTCGACTGTCAATGGTTGGTAAGGATGATCGCTGCGACTTCTTGATGAACTGTCTGTACATCCCCCCCTCCGTCTCAGTAAAGTTTTTCCACCCGACTGTCTGTCCCGCCTTTGGATTTGGGAATCTTCAAGTTGGCGACCACCATGCCTCAGCAACTGGTGACCCCGACGTGATACAGACCGTAAGAGCAGGTAGCTACAACTGTAATCTAATTGGCAAGGGACTGACAGATTGTATTTCTTCTTGCACTATATGAGAAGATTTGGCCTTTGCCTTATCAAGACGAGCAGGAAAAAAAAACAGCACAGGATCAGAAATCTCAGGCGGCAAGACAGAGAGCGAAGTGTGAGGCTGGGATATCTGCGAAAGGTTTCCTAACTGGATAACCGGGGCCGGAGCTCAGGGAGGACGGTGGGAAATCTCTGTTGGAGAAGGCGTTCGCACCACCATGAGAGCTGGCTTTGGGGCAAGCAGTCAGGAGGCCAAATATGACGTGGAACTCCACACCAATAATTGCGACGATGAAGGCCTGGGGAAGGAAGTGTCTGGGTTCATGTCTCGGGACAATAACGCAGAAAACAAAAAGGTCATTTAAGAAGTGACCGCGGCCTGGAGGAGAAAACCGGGGTTAGGATTAGGGCAATGACTAAGAGGGTTGTGGACAAAGGAAGGACTGGGGAATTGGCGCTCCCCTGTGACTCAGCGCGAAGTCACCTGTAGTACGTGGGCGGGGATGTCCGACTCGAAAGACTGCTTGAGTTCCTTGCCTAGAGCGACCAAATCTAAGGTAACTGGAAAATTTGCTGACAAGATGCAGACGAAAAAAATCACTTTGCTTGCCTGTCAAGGAAGCAACTGTTCCAACTGTTTCCATGAATTGAAAAAAAGAAAAATTAAGGCTGGAGGACACACTCCAACTTGCTGATTTTCAGTACCTGCTCAGGAAATCCTAGGGACTGGAGGATAGAAGCTGACCACATTGTACGTTTGTCCCATTTCCTGCGCTTGAGACCCAAGTATCTGCCAAACGGAATCCTGAAGAACACATTTAATTTGAAAAATCGGCTATATGGGGTTATTTGGAGCTGAGGGCAGTCAATCAAACAAGTTTAACTGTAGCTTCCGAGTTCAAACGAATGACCCTTTCGCCTCCCATATACCGCAATAAGTTATTCAAAGTAAGTACGTAAGTTAGGCGAAGCAGGGGCAAGGCAGGAAGAAACATTCTCTGATTTATTGCTGCAAAGAAAAGAGTAAATTGCCTTTAGTTTCCCCTTAGAACTTCGCCGACTGTGACTGGCAGTAGCAAAGGTAACGAGGAGCGATTTCTGTTCTCTTGATTTTCATCAAAGGGACCAAAGGTTCAAAGAGGTGATGTTGCGTAGGTGCATTTTAACTGCACCGTGTGAACTCTAATACCTCCTCCGTTTGTGATGAACAGATGCCTCGCACATACGAGTTAGGTTTCCCCGGTAGTTTGAATAAATTTCATGTCACATCGTATTTCCTCAGAGAGTGCTCCCCTTTTATGGGGCGATCGCTAGCTTCTGATTGGAAATTGAGCATTCACTTGTTGCGGAAAAAGCGCGTAGTTTCCAAATCGTAATGGGAACCTGTGCGCTAACTGGAGTGAAACACGTGTCGGTAAAATGCAAGCTCAGTTAGCGAAGCTTCGCTCTCAACTGTGGAGTACTCTGGACAGATTCTGGTTACAAGCAAACGTCTTCGTAGGTCGATTGTTCGACTAGGCATCTCCAGTTATTAAGAACTAACAGAACTCCTACCGGTACGCTGGATTTGCATTTTAATAAATCAAATACGAAAATCTACACAAATCCATAATTGGTCCCAAGTGAAGAGTTGGTTGACAAATGATTTTTCGTCAAAAAACACGAGCAACTGTTTACAGAAGGGGCGATCTGATGGCAGAGGTGGAGTAAGTATCGTGTGTCAGCTCCCTTTTGCTGCATAGCTCCCTGAGACTCTGCATTGTCCTACAGACGCCTCATGACAAAAAAATTTGCGAGCATGGTTGTTTGCTCAGAATATTTCCTGAGTAAAATGGGGTTCAGTGCAGTATTTAGCAGTTGTAGCTAATTCAGGCGGTAAACGGGAGAGCATGCATGCGAGACCTGCAGTGGGAAATCAGGCCTGGGAATGAAACAACCCGTAGGAATAAGTAGCATTAACATCATGGTTCGGGAGTTGGACAGATTGTCATCAGCCGTCACATGGTTTCGTCAGTAGAATCTCTCGCAGTTTACTCCGCTTCCAGATTTGACCGACACATTTGGCCGTCTAGCCTTCTCTGTGATTGAAGAGGGGATTCAACAGGAACGCAGAAAAACTCACCACGTAGTTTAAACCGCTTTTTAAAATATTCCTAGGCTATCTAACTTGACACCTTCTTCATCAGTCGTTTTAGACAGTATCGACGTGGGTTTTAAAATCTAGGAGGCCAGGCCACTAGGTGCTTCAGTAGGCGTTTCTGAATAAATGAATTTACAGTACATTTGCTACATAATGAAATATTAACCGAAATTCTGAAACATATTTCCTATTGAAAAGATAACCTGAGTAGATTTGTACTATTTATTAAAGGGCACCATAATCTTCAAATATTTCAGATACGTCAGGATGCCGTCTTTTGAGCAAGTTCCTTTCCAACCGCCGTCAAAAACTACACTTTGTTAAAAATGGCTACTTAAGTAACATCCATATCTCCCGTCGCCTTTGCAGATCTTTATTATCTCAAATATGTTCCATAGAAACTATGCATAGGAGGTCTTTCTTATATTTATTTGATAGCAGATTACGTCTTCTTCAAAAGTGTACAATTCTATATCAAAAGGGCCCCTAAATATGAGATTTTTAAGATCGGGAAATGTCCATTCCTAAAGCATCGTATCTGTCCGCTTATTACGGCTGTTTGTAAAGTATACAAAGTGGTCCACGCCCAATGAAAAATGCGTGAGCCATATATAACCTTTTAAGCAGCGTGGAGAGGAGTATGAGTTTTGCCTTGCTTAATTTCCGAGGAAATTATTGCGCGAACTTGGAGTAACTCTTTCGAAACAGGCCTTTTCAGGCACGGTCCGAAATTTGATATGAATATTTGGGCTGAAATCCGTCAGCTACTGCGGAATAACCGCTTAATATTCACAAACCGCCAACAGGCAGCCAGTAGTATAGCATTGTGCAATAATTTACCGTACTAACAACACAGATATTAGCTAAAAGCCCAGACACGCGTGTTTCGCCGATCTTGTGCCGCTGCCTGACGCAGCTGCGAGGGGTTCGGCTCGTCAGTGGGTCCCCCAGCTTTCCCCGTGTGTTTTCTGGTATATGAACTCCAGTTTCAACTTGCCTTGCTTAATTTTCGAGGAAATTATTGCGCGAACTTGGAGTAACTCTTTCGAAACAGGCCTTTCCAGGCACGGTCCGAAATTTGATATGAGACACGGGGAAAGCTGGGGGACCCACTGACGAGCCGAACCCCTCGCAGCTGCGTCAGGCAGCGGCACAAGATCGGCGAAACACGCGTGTCTGGGCTTTTAGCTAATACCTGTGTTGTTAGTACGGTAAATTATTGCACAATGCTATACTACTGGCTGCCTGTTGGCGGTTTGTGAATATTAAGCGGTTATTCCGCAGTAGCTGACGGATTTCAGCCCAAATATTCATATCAAATTTCGGACCGTGCCTGAAAAGGCCTGTTTCGAAAGAGTTACTCCAAGTTCGCGCAATAATTTCCTCGAAAATTAAGCAAGGCAAGTTGAAACTGGAGTTCATATACCAGAAAACACACGGGGAAAGCTGGGGGACCCACTGACGAGCCGAACCCCTCGCAGCTGCGTCAGGCAGCGGCACAAGATCGGCGAAACACGCGTGTCTAGGCTTTTAGCTAATACCTGTGTTGTTAGTACGGTAAATTATTGCACAGTATGAGTTTTCTCACATGGGGGAAGTCTGCAGTATGTGGTTTGAAAATTTGGTCGAGTTCAGAATAAGTTTCGAAATGGGAAAGCTTCTTGAAAGAGACACATGCCATTCACTCAAGTGCAAAATTTAAACAAGACGTCACTTGCCATCAAATTAGCATGAGAGAAAGTATTTTTGTGTACGTTCGCTATAAAATACAGTTGGTGGTCTAACTCATGGAAGTTCGTGGTTGACATTTTAGCGAGAAACATGTCATGCATTTGGTGCCGTTATTTGTGTTTGTTAAAATGATTTGAAACACAAAAGGCCATTTACTGAAGGGAGGTTCACCTACAGTCAGTTTTATTAAAGGAAAGCAGGCCAGATTTGGGCGAAATCTGACCTTTCTTGGTATCCAGATAATTTCCTATGTTATAGAAATTTGCAGACTAAAACTTCACATGCTGTAAACGAAGATTAATACAAACAGGAAAGTACGAAAAATATCCCGTATGAAAACTGGAAATTCGATTTTTACTTCAATGACAATCAGGTAAGGCCAGGTTTGAGAACTTGCACTGTTTTCAGGAAAAAAAGGTCAAGATCAGGTTATGAAATTCCTTTTTATAAATTTATGGTGTTTCGTGCCAAGAAACTTAGCAATAAACTTGATCGGCACACCACACCGAGAACTAATAGGCGTGGTTAGAGATATATATATTAAGTACGCCCGACATGCTGCCACTTTTCTGTGTCACGCCGTACGCTAAACATGTCCAGACAATATCTTTCAGCAGTCGACTATGAAAGGATACGGAAATTAGCAGCGGAAGGTCTTCGCGTGAATCGTTAACAAGTATTTTTAATATTAGTAAAGTTTTTCTGTGGCGAATACTTAATGATAGAACCGTACCCATAAATAGGCGAGGGGGCAGACGGTCCAAAGTTAGCAGGACGACGAGTTTAATCGATGTACATTGAAAAATTGTCATTATATGCCCATTAAGACCATTTACAAGTAACATCTGCCGATGTTCTCCATGAACATAATTGGGAAGAGAATGTAGGAATTTAAACTCCACCAACAAAAGGCCATGATCAAGCCGTTTTGAAGTAGAAAACTTATTAGAAAACGTTTTTTGTTCGCTAAGAAATATATTAATTGCCGGCCCTCATTCTGGAAGAGCATTTACTTCTGCGATGACGTCTTATTTTTAGACAGGGCAAGTAAGTGGACTCACATGGTCATATGCGAAAACAACCTTACAAAAGTGCACATTACGCCGACGGCAACTTTCAAGAATTGCTGACGGTTAGTGGTTTGGATGGCGATTAAATTCCGAGAGCGGCCAATCTGAAAATCGACTACGGACACTGTCGACAGCACGGTGTTCGTCAACATTGTGAAGGATGTTTTCGATTACAATGACATCCACCGACGCAGACTGGATATTATAATTTCACACGACAATGCACCTGTCCATCGTCCCGAAGAAGTATTAATCTCATAAGGCTTTTAATCATAATCTGACTTTCTAGACAACAGCCAGCCTTTCCGCATGTGGACTCCAGTCGATTTTCATTCCTTCCAACAACCCCGATTTCAATCCCATCAAAAATATTTTCGCACTTATCAAGAGACATCGACATAAGTTGAATAATAAACTGTCCATGCATGAAAAACTTGATTTCATGCTAGACAATCACAATGAGCAAGCCACTATAGACAACCTGGTCGTCTCCATGTCTGAAAGACTTTTTACTGTGATCAATGTAAATGGACAATCAAAAGTACTGATCCTTTGTATTTGTTATTATTTTTCATTATTTTTGCCATTTCCTGTATCCCCTTCATTGTGCCCCCTTATATTTTGCCCTATTTAGACGATTCGCAATATAGCCATTTTCTAAAATTCTAGTTTTCAGTGAAAGTTAATTATTTTTGCGGTAGTAAATATTAATTTACAGCCCAAATGATGCCTTTTATTTAATTGACGGTCGTTTTTCACTGCCGCTAGATTTCGGGAAACGCAGGTTGGACGGATTTTGCGTTATAGGGATTTTTTGTGCTAACTCATGACATTTCATGAGTTAACACACCTACTGTTCATTTGAATTTATAAGGGCATCGAAAATTAATCGGAAAATACGTATTATTTGGTTAGCCTTTGCGGGCGGTCTGGAATAGGCTTGTTCAGAAGTCAGCACCCTGACTTAGAATGTCGGTTAACATTTCATGAGATAGCATATCAACTGTACTTTAGGTTTTTGCTCAGGAGTCAGATGCGGTTTATTCTTCGTAACCTCAGTACTGGCGGGGTTTTCTTTATCTTGACACGTAGCATGGGGCTCCTACCACCCTGAGGTATGAGTACGACTAAGAGGGGAAATTTCAAACTGCTGATGACTTGGTAGAGTCAGCTTGATAAAAGTGTAAGTCCTGAGAATTATCAGTAAATTTAGACCAATACCTGTGCGTCCGGGGTCATCGAGGCAAATATCTGCGGCTGTAGAAAAGACGAAATACAGTCGAAAATCACATATGTGTGCTGTTCACTGGTCGGTTATGACTGTGGCACCTAAAGCGGATTTTTAGCTTTGCGCTAGAACTCGCGAGCGGTCGTGTAAAAATAACTTTTTAATTAAAGGACATCCATCTCCTATTGAGAGGCGCGTAGGCTGGTCAGAGTTCACTGATTGGTGCTCTGCGCACGTTTCTTCTTTGCGGTTGACAACCGCCAGCCCGACGCAGGACAGTTATTATGCAATATCAGTGCTGAATTGCTTGCGTGGCTTTATACAGCACTAGTTGTCATTGGTCCTCTAAAGTGCTTTTAATGACAGTACTGGTTTTGTGTGAATGAAATACCAAAGAATTAATATAAATGGCGGATTGCTCACGACAAAGATGCCTGATACAAATTCGTCTTCTGGTGACAGGTGGTAAGGTTATCATCGTTGTCTTTTCCCTTTACAGTCAGCAAGAACAAGAGGACTGACAATAAGATGGCCACTTCTGACTTAGTAGCCATCATCCGCTAGTAATGTCTTAATTCACCCGTTATTTGTACCTGGATTCTACGGGTCACTGAGTATCCAAGTCTCGAGCGCATGCGACCTCAACTATCGAGTTCACTGCCGATCAGCGGTCATTAGGAGTAAGCAATGACACATAAAAGTACAATGAGTGACATATCTCCTGAAATTTTGGCTGAAATTCTGAGATGCGTTTTCGATTAGGAAGGATTACTTGGGTGTGGTTGTAATACTGATTATCTTGTGGCATAATCTTATAACATTCCGGACTCGGCAGGATGTCAGCCTTTGAATACACTGTTTCTCAATCTCCTGTAGAAACTGTACTCGGTAAACAAATGACTAATTAAGTAGCAAGCATTGTTCCCATTGATTTTCGATGGTCTTGAAAATTCAAATATATTTTATAGAAACCATAAACAAAGATGCGCTTCCTTTCAGTCAATTAATAGAGAATCATGTTTTCTTTACATTTTATACTCAAGAAAGGAGTAATTAGATCTTAAAAAATTTTGTTATTGCCGAATAAGTTGGAGCCTGATCATTCGTTGCATCAGCGCTTAGTGATCTCAGTCTACAAGGTGCATGCGATCCGCGTAAAGGAAATCACATATACTTCTATGTCTTTAGAAAGATGGCACTAATTGGTTGCTACTTAAGTGGCTTCAGTAGGCGTGATTTGTTCCTGTGCATGCCCGCAGCAGGGTCACTCCAGTTGGCACAGCAGTGTTGTTAGTGCAGGGGGTACAAAATCACATGGTTAGCGCAATATTTACTGTGAAGGCCTTTTTAGGAACAAAAATGGCGAGGAATACCAGAATATTTGTGGCGCTAGTAACGGTGGCGCTGACGATAGTTGACAAATCTGCTTCCAGAGAGGCCTAATGGGTTTCCAAAAGTTTTCCCAAAGAAGACCGAATTAAAGGAAAATTGCATGTACGGCACTTCGATAAGGTAGAAAACCTCGCACAACACCGAGGCGATTTTGCATCGTTACTGAATACCTCAAAAATCTATTTTCCTTGTATTCAAAGTGCCAGTTTACAACAAGACGCACAAAAACAAAAGTTCATCATTTGGCTCCAGGTCAGCATTAAAAAGGGCATGATCTTTCTCGATAGAGGTACCGACGTGTGGATAACGCCCGTCAGCGGCCTTGTCAACCACCCTTTGTCAGACATCCGTCTTCCGATTCGGTGGTTGTCATGGGAAATATATAATTGCGAGATATCACTTCGAAAGTCCGTCATAGAATTTCGCTTGAAAGCATCAGAAAAACGATTCGAGCGGAAACAATAAGTTTATTCAAATTAAGATGCAATCACTAAATCGAGAAGTTTATTGGCCCGGTGTTTTAGGTTCTTCTTCGAACTCATCACCGAAGACATTCCCAGATGAGGCTTCATTCTGGAAATTCGTAAAGGTATTTAGAATGGCTGATCTTTTTTCTTTCAGTGTCAATTTCGTAGCCAGCGCAAATTCTAATCATTATTCCCGTTTAACTACAGAACGTGGCTCAAATTGTATATAATAATGGCACGGTCATAGTGATTCTTGTCTCCTAGTATGGTTTGAGGTATGACTTGGTCCTCGCGGTAAGGAGTCCTAACCTCGGCAGGCATAGGTATAGTGAAGTCACTCCTTTCTACACCTTGTTGTCATAAGTTATATTCTGGGAAATGGCTGAATCCTTCCATTTCATTAAAACCCATCCGTCAGTTTTATTAGACGCACTGAGGTGTTGAGCAACCTGTACAGTTTTTTTATATGCGCAGGTCTTGCCCAGATGCTTGCTGTGGTTCAGGAACCGTTAAGATAGTGTCCAGCAAATATTTCTAGCTCACGGCGCTTTGGACGGCGATGTCTTCTACCAAGCATCAAATTCTTATGTGAGGACTTGTATCTCCAAAGCATGAACAAGTAATTACCAAACTATAGAACACTCTCTGTTACCGGCATTCAACTCGAGGCCCCTCCGGCAAAATCCAGATCCACGAAATTAATTCTTGCCTTAACCACCAACACAGATGTCGCTGAGCATAGTATGACAAGCGGCCCCTCGGGACGGATGAGCTATGCTGTGCTCACGAGGGAATCGACGAGCTTCTAGCATGCGCATAAATGACAGCACTTTGGTTCCAATTTTGTCGTTTCCGTCTGTGTGCTAAAACCGGCCGCCGACCAGCTCAATCCGAATGCCTGATTTTGACTACAAGAACTAATTAATAAACCCCCTCGTCATGAGCTGTCAGCCGTTACGAACGACTGAAACCGCAGAACTGTGGCGGGTGTCTTTTCATGTTTGATCGTCTGTGATACAGGTGGGTCAGAACAGGGTCCGGCACCCGTTACTGGTCTGCCATGAATCGGAGGGTGTGAGAACACGCCTAAGTCAGAAGGCCTTAAGACTCCATTTGGACTCTATAGGTATGCAAACAATTCAACATGCAGTTTGAGCGTGCAGAATGCATAAAACTAACGACAAAGCATATATGTTAAAAGGGTGAGGCCTTTGCGAAATAACAGCGAAAAACACGTTTGCTACATTCTCGCAGTGAAATTTTCATCCGGCGAAAGGTTAATGTGCATAAAACGACCTGCTGAAATTGTGTTAGTAGCATATTTATAGTCATTTCAGTAAACCGCCCGATGGGGTTTGGGAAATTCTGGTTGCCTTTGGACACGTAATTATTCAGATGTCTCCCTAACACAGTCACAGCAGGGGAATTTAGAACATATATCCGTAAAGAATTCCATTGGCGAATGGCTCTCTGTGAGGAAAAGAAGGAGCGTTGAGGGGTGTGGCGCAGTTCCTTTTTAAGTTGATAATCGTGTCATCTGAAATTACTCTTCGGTGACAATTCAAAAAGAGTTTCCCAGTCGACATACAGACCAAGTCCTCTTAGCAACTGAAACATCGCTATAAGGCCACCTCTGTCCTGTCTGTAGTGAAGCGGATAGAGATTCTGGGCGGTCATGCGTTGCTCGTGCGCATGGCCTTGAGTTCATGAACGGCCTTTGTAGGGACTTCGCTGTACACCTTCAAGAATGTCTGTCTTTCCAAAGCCACGGCCGCCAAGCCTGTACCGCCTACTCCAGATGCGGCCGCACAAATGCCCCATATGCCTTACCAGAGACATCTGCATCCAAGTTAACAAACATTCTTCGCATCGCGCCCATAATTGGCATTGTCCGCACTGCAAATTTAGAACACTGTATGGTGATACCTGGGCGTTTTTAATGAATACGCCAAGGTCTTGCTGTACACTTACGCTTTCACGTGTTTGATTTCCCAGGAAATACTGTCGTGAGTGTCCCTCTCCTCTTCGCTTTGCCGATATGTGCATTACCACACATATTTGGTGTTTAATTTCATGCACCACTTCTCGCCCCATGCGTGCACCTTCTCTACGTCCTCTTGTAACATCTTCTATCATCACCAACAGTTTAAGATCATTTGCAAAGAACGACATGTCCTATTCCACCTCCCGTACTAGATCATTTACATAGGTAATGTATGGGGGCGGCCCAAGAACTGACCCTCGTGGGACTCCACTTTTAACAGACAGGCCCACGCTGCACCAGCCGCCTGATCCGACCCCGTGCCCGATCTTCTTGGCTCTGTATTGATACCAGGCTCAGGTGGGAGGGGAGAGAGTGCGGTAGATGCAACGGAAATCCACTACCACTGTAAACTAATTCACGGGCAAATAATCGCCCCCGCGCCCATTCCGCTGTGGGGCTAACTGTGGACATTGGTAATGGTGGTCGAACTGCTAAGAAGAGAGGGAGGACGTGATTGAGGCTCGATGACTAGAAGCGGCTGTTTGTCACGAACATGCGTCTCCAGAATCTTCGTAAGAAACTGCTCGACTTGCGCACCTAACCAAATTGGCAAATCCCAGGCAATTCATCGTCACCAGCCTCATGAACTTGGCACTGCCTCCCTCAATTCGGTGCTGCTGCCTGACCGAAGGCAATGTAAACGTAAGGCCAGTTCCTGGCGCGACACAGTCCGTCGGGATATTTGGATGCTCCTTTAACACCCGTTCTATGCCGTTTGAGAGGAAGACAAGCTATCTGGACCAGCTGCCACTTGGTGTCGCGCGATAAACATTTATGCAGACGTCTGCCTAGACGGGTACGTCTGACTAGACCTGATAATTGATGACGTACAGTGCGTGACCGATCTCAGAAAATGTTGGCTCAGATTCTGAAATGCGTTTTCTATTAAGGATTATTTAGGTGGGGTTGTGATATTGATCACCATGCAGTATAACCTCATAGTACTTCGGACTCGCCAGAATATCGGCTGCTGAATGCACTTCTTTCCGACCTGTAGAAGCACAAGCATGCATTTTACACGTTGATTTTCGACAGTCTTATAAATTCAAGTATACCTCGAACAAAACGTGCACAGAAATATGCTTTCTTTGACTCGTTTGGTAGAAAATCACATTGTCTTCACATTTTATACCCGAAGAACGTGTACATTTAGGTTTTGAAAAATTTTCCCGAGTCCCGAACAATTTTGAGCCAGATCAGCTGTTGCATTAGCGTTTAGCGATTTCAGCCTATAAGGTGTAAACTTCCCGCGTAAGGAAAATTATATTCCTCTATCCCTTTAAGATACCATTCAGAGTTCATAAATTTTGCAGTGGAGGCGGACTATGTAGTACGTTTCATGAGGAGCACTGTTAAACGGAACATGTGCGATGTTGTATGTACGGACATCGCACGGTCTTAAAAATCTCATAATTAGGAACTTTTAAAAACCGAAAGGTGGCCTTCCCTGGGGTATAAAATGTAAAAACAATGCGATTTTCTACCAAACGAGCAAAAAAAGTATATTTTGTGCATGTTTTCTACAAAATATCTTTGAACTTATAAGACCAGCGAGAAATCGATGTGAGAAATGCATACTGCTCAAGTAGTCATCTTTTACAAGGGGATCTAAAAGAAGTGCATTCAAAAGCCGACATCCTGACGAGTCCGAAATACTATACGATTATGCTGCATTATAATCAATACTACAACCCCACCTAAGCAATCCTTCTTATGTTGGCCAACATTTCATGAGATCGGTCACTCACTGTACCTCGCCGGCAAACCAGTGCGAATCCACGACAATCAGACTTGCAAAGACATTGCTTGAACGATTTTCATTTTCGAGGCTGGGATGTGAACTGGAGTGAAACATTGTAGGAGTGTCTGTTTCCGGCTGCCACAGTGGAAACTGGTAACTAAGTGGGCCGGTGAAAAGGCAATGAAAGGACAGTAAATGCAGATGTTACATTGTTTCGGGTAGGAAGACGGGACAGACAGTTATATAAACACGAAACGTAAAGGGGTGATTATAGTGGAGGAATGACATCTTAACTGCCGCGGTCAGACTTTTCGGTCGGCGAAAGTTAGGCACGATCTAATACCGTGACTTCTGAAACCTTGGAGTTACTGCCACCGTCAATAACCTTTCGTGGCGACCGTTGGCGGGGAGGTGAGCGAGAGACAAGACGTCGTTTCAGATCTTCTCGTTCAGCGCGCTGGCAGGGATGGTACACGGGCGGTGGAGAACGCGACCGACTGCTTGAGAGGGTTCGTATCCGTTTACGCATCGGGCCGTCGTGACCGTTGTCCATATCTCGCGGAAAGTCTCTGCGTGGACTTCCTGGCGATCGACGTCTTCCCTGCGGCGCTGTGCCCCGACGGTAGTCGTAGGCGACCCCACCGTCGTCAGGAGATAGGACACGACGGCTCGGCCCAATGGGGCGACGGTCGCTGTAACCTCGATCTCGACGGTCATAGTCATCATACATCGGTCGCCTACGAAATAGATGTATAAAGACCGGTCAGTTCAAATATAACGAAAGGTCGAGGAAGTGGAAAAAACGCGAACACTCGGAATGGCGCACTTCAATGATGAATTCGGCTCAGCAGGGTCGCCCCGACACAAGCCGAAAAAGAAGAAACCCAGTGTTCGAAAGAAGGAGACGGAAGAGTAGTCGCTATCCCTTACGAAAAGGAAACCAGGTCAAGATACCGCCTGTCGGCTAGCAAACTGCATGTCGGCAAACCCGTACCTAACAGTCTCAAGAACTGTAGGGGTGAACAAATGGTGAACCATTGAATTTAACGTGTATATGGCGTTTTTCAGACAGAGCAGGGAGTGGGGAGCATTGGAAGTGGATAAGAGAGAATGCGGCGAAGAAAAAGTGTACCACTCCTACATAAATCATGCGGTATGGAAACATTTACATGGTCCACGTCGGCAGTCGATGACCGCATGCTATGAAGCAAAAACTTCAAGACAGTGCACAGTTGGCCTATTCGTGACAAGCATGAGCGTAAAGAAAATCATGTCCATAACGCGATGAAGAAATAATCATGTAGGAGCGGATAAACGTCCAACTCAACGCAGTCGCTTGAGCACCTTTACTCCAACCAACCAACAAAAGTCATCTTACTGAACTGCAGTCTTTTGAATCAGGTATCCTGGATGTAACACGAGGGTTCTACAATGTTGGTTAAACTGTGACAGTGAGTCGTGACTAGCATTGATACTGCATGCTCGACCTCAGAAGAGATTCCTGTAATTGTGGACGAAGTGGATGTCGATTTCTCTAGACTAGTGATGGTGATTGTGTCGATGGTTGCGAGGACGAAAGCTTAGTGGTGGAGAGAGTAACGGCGATTACCATCGCAGTGAATAGGAGTAGGAGTTGGTCGGCGTAGAGGTGGAGCACTGCTAAAGTCGCTGTGCGCGGATGCGAAGGAGGAAAATATAATGAAAATAGGATGGTACCGGCGGCGGC